GCTTAAGAAAACAGATGCCTTCTAACCCAGGCTAATCAGGCTGCCTTACAGGTACTTCAATACATTGTCCTTCAGATAGTAAATATATTTTTCACTTTTTGGAGTGTCAACATCCTACCCCTTGCTAAAGTGCTGAAGCATTTGTCAATCTGTTTAATAAGTTATTCCAGTAATATAATTCCAAACGAACAACAAAAAACACCTGGGAACACGTAACCAATATACCATCCTTACTAAAAATTCTTCTGGATCTCTTGTGTAAATCTCTTCCTATTATAGGTTTTTAATCAGGCATTGGTTAAAAAAAGAAGTAAACATGTTTTCATTTATATTTTCCTAAAATAACTGTGGTAATTTTCTTAAAATTAAAAACAAAATATGGAGCTGAGATCAGCATGGAAAAAATATCAACTCCTTCAAAGGGTACTTTTGAACAGCTGAAAATCGGAATGATTATTTGTTCTTCCTTGTCCTTAATTCTCCTATTGCACTTCAAGTACAAAACTCTTTGAGGACTGAAATGGTCTTTTCTATCTACATTTTTACAGTGCCTCTTGCATTTGACCTAGTGTATGACTAAAGTACTAAACATATACTCACAGAAAACAGAAACTGCCTTATACTCTTTAACAAACAATGAAATCTACGCAGATCTGATTAGTTACTACATTCAGGGGAGATGAAAACCATTGCAGATATTTAATGTGCTGAGAAACTATCTGAGCATGGCAATTATCAAGGTGGCAGAAATCACTTTCTGCAGATGCCAAAGAAGTCAGGCTTATTATTAAAGATATTAGCACTGAACAGGAAAACTTCCTTTCCCTTCCTGGGAAAAGGAAGCCCCAGTCAACTATGAAATAAATCATTAAACGATTTTTCATTTTAGCAGCAAACAAGTTGACATTGAATTAAAATACTATTACACATGAGAAAAGGCCCTAAATGGCAGGTGCTGCATACTCCGAACACAGGGATGAAGAACGCTTACCTTGGGAAACTGGGAGATTACTCTGTCCCTACTCACTGGGGGAACGAAATGCATCAGGCTGGACTTCATTCTTCAAATTCGATTCAATCCTACCAAACAGGAAACATGTAAAGAGACACATAGCAATCTCAACACAGGGTAAATATTAAAACACACACACACAAAAAGAGTCAGTCCTTATGGACTCACCTTTGTTTCCCTTCCAGTAACAGCTAATAGCTCTTTTATTTTACTTTAGGATTAAAAAACAATCACAACCAAAAAAAAAAAGTTTATTCTGTAAATGGGGCCACATCAGTGTGTATAGGTAAATTATAGTTTCAGAAAGGCCCTAAGCACCACATCTCATTTAACGTAAGCACAGATACTTCCTCAGTTTCTCAAAGCACATTAATAAATCTGAGGAGATACCACATTTCATCATAACAGAAAAGGAGGAATGACCATGAAGTTGCTACGTTTCTTGGCACAAAACATTTCCATCCAAAATCAGCTCGAGAAAAATCAATTAAACAGACAATTCGGCTCAGAAGGAGACTGCTCATAGAAAAAATACTACAAATACATGAAGACATCCCGCGTGAGACACCTCAATTTGATTATGCAATGAAACCTCATGGGTTGTTAGGGGAGGAGACACCTGACAAGGCACCAGCTCCTCACCAGCACTCAGAAGAATGTTTCTGGAAGGACATTCATCACGTTGCAAAGCGAGGGAAGGACTCACCGTACAGCAGCTGATGCGGCAGGTTCCCAGCTCCACAAACAGCTCCGCGGGCTGCTGCGTGGCCATAGAAACGGGTTGGCAACAGCTCCCTTCCTCCCCTTCTCTCAAAGATTAGGAAGGCGGAGTTGCAATGGAGAAACTTCGCTACACACAGTCCTAGGTTTAAAAGGACAGACTGGTTTTAGGGGCTATTCTGATTCCCGTGACCAGAAACTGCTCCTTAGTAAGTTCAAGGGTCCCCTAATCCCATTTATGAAAATGGTTCTCTGTACTTCAAAGGTAGTTGTATATATGAATGCAAGGAGCAGGATCGGCCCAGCAGACGGAACTAACAGAGTAGGGAATCATTATTGTGATAATATTACATATACTAGCAACTATTAAGAAACTCACATGGGATTTTTTCAGAATTTCAACTCAAATTCATCTCAACTTCAGAGTCAGGGTACACATACCACAAATGAGTAATTTATGTTTCAAAACCACAGAAAATTAATAGTGCTCAACAGAAATGTTATTCCACTATGAAAATTAATGTTTTATTCTCTTTTGGGAGGATTACTTTTAAATCACTTCAGGCATTCATCTGAACACAACTGAAAAACAAATGAGAATTCAAATTGCAGTTGATAAGTTATTCAGCAGAGAAGGGGGCATTACAGCACTTTATTATATGCCTAGTTCTTTTTATAACACTGCTTGTGACTGTATAAAACCCAATAGGTGTATAGTTCTTTTCATGATATATTACCCACCTTTTTGGCAAGTGTAAATAGTTTTAAAAAGATGTTATAATGTCTTAAAATAATAGTTCTGAGAAGAAAAAGAAAAACCCTGCCAACTGTTAACAGTTTCACAGTGTGATTTTCTTTCTCCCCTCCCCTAGCCCTGGATCATCACATCCAAAGCAGGTAAATACCCGTCATGTGGACACGGGCTGACTCACTGCTTGTCTCCTGGAGCTCTTTCATAAAATAAGCTGCAAAAAAAACAGTGCACCAATTTCAATGAATGCAAAATACAGGAAATATAAAGGTAACTGAATGGAAACGATTTATATAGAAGGGGCATTTATTAACATCTAATATATTTAACCTAAACGTCTCTCTCGCACGTGTGTGCGCACACACACAACCACATTCCAAGCTCCCAACTCAACAGACTGGCTGCACAAGTAGTGGAAAGGGTCTATGATCAAAGAAATCCATAGCTGCCAAGAAGAGTAGGAATGATCTGTACTGAAATTCAGGTTTTCTTTTCGTACAGAGCTGAAGGGGACTCTGTCACCAGGGAGGCCTGGGAATACACCGTCTCCATGGCATCGTCCCCATGCTTACATCAGTGTTACAGGCACAGCATCATCAACAGATTCGGTGGAGAGATAAAGGAATTGAGGAGTATGTTCAGAAGCCACACGTAAAATAAGCTAATGTCATGTCTGCTAACTGTGGTTACTAGCTAGTAAAAGCTATGGTGAAGGACAAGACAGAAGAGCCACTGGCAAAAGCAGGTGAGCAGAGCTGGCACCTCATGGCAGGAGTTTCTGGTTTTCTCCTCCTTCTTCTACATAGAGAAAAGCTCACTTTCCAAATGAGACAGGAGGAAGCTTCACAAGTGTATATTTAATAAAAGTGTATTTCATTACAATAACCTCCACTTCAAATAATGTTTAGAATGCTCCAGAAAACAAATGCTCTCCTGAAAATTCTTTTCAAAGCAGCATTCTTTTATGGATTTTGATGCTCAACAAAGCTGAATCTATTCCTGTGCTTTATTTTAATCTGGCTGACCTGACTGACTTTGGCTTTGCAAAATCCAGTTTAAGAACTTTGATCATTATACTCTTTACTTAAACATAATGAAAAACACCCCGATGTTCTCTGTATTTGCACAGGGAAGTGAAACAACCTCTCTCACAGCAGAAGCTCTTTGAAGTCACTTTTTCCTGTCGCCAGATCACATCTGACCACCCAGAGCAGTCCGCAGTCAGGCCGTCCCCACTGCAGTACCATATGTTCCTGCACGCAATACTGTGCTTTTTAAGTGGGTCATACAGGAAAAAAAAAAAAAAAAAAGGCCAAAACCAGAATCAAGGTAGGAGAGGCTATTCTTATATGAATGGAAGCCATTCCTAGCTATTCTAGCTGATTATGGAGAGGTTCTGCAACCACTAGGAAGGCAAACGCAGCCCACAGCTGCTCTGCTCCCACCAGGCCAGCCCAAGGCGAGCTCCTGTGTGAATGTGGGCTGAACATTGACCCATGCCTCAGCTACCCCTTAACGGCCTTCTTCATAAGGTTTCTTCAGGCCGGAGGAGGACAAGGGAACCTCGCTCTGCTTAACGGAGAGAAGGGCTCAAGCTGCCTCCACCCGGCAGCCCTGGCCCGGCATTTCGCCCACCCGCCCCGCTGCCCTCCCGGAGGGGCCGCTCGCGCCACCACAGCGCCCCAGCCGCGCGCAACGCCCACGCCAGGAGCGGTCAACTACCCATTCACCAACAACGCCGTTGACGCTACTCCCGCTCGGAGGCCGGCAGCGCGGGCGTTGCTTACGCCTTTGACGCAAGACGGAACCCAGGGGAAGGGAGGAAGCGCCCGGCGGCGCGGCTTTATTCGCGAAGCGCGGCGTACGCAAGGAGCGCGTTGCTGTGGCGACCGGAGCACGCGGGCGCGCGGGCGGCTGAGGTGGCGCCATGTCCGCGGGACGGGGCCCCGGGGTGTAGCCTGCGCGGGGGTTGAGAGCGAGAAACGCAGCAGCTCCGTAGTTAAGTTTTAACGTCGCAGTTGTCACTTCTGCTGGGTAGCTTTGAAAGCTGGAAGACGCGTGCTTCTGTCAGCCACGCTGTGAGGGAAGAGGGACCAAGCGTCACCATCTCTTTCAAAGGCTAGCGGTTCTGTTTGCTATCGCTTTAGTATTGTTATTTTGAGCCCTAACTCTGGTGCAGGGCATTACCTATTTGAAAAATAACTTTCTCCCTCCCCACCTAATTCTCAGATTACTGCAAACTCTTTTGTTTTGTTTTCACTTTTAGTGTTTAGTAGGAAATTAACCCAGATAAACCAGGCCAGCTGATGAAGAGGCATTGATGCCAATGCTCATGCATCGTGCCAGCCTCTCCCTCTAGAGCTGCCTAGCAAGGGCTGTGTCCTACACCCACTCTCCTGGGGGCACAGAGCACCCTTCATTTTGAGGCCTGTAGTTGTCCCCCTGCTCCTTTAACTGTCACCAGGTAAAATTATTTCGGGGTAGGGACAGGGGGAACCCCTCCCAAGGGAGTTAGGGATGGCGCATGCTCGCATTTCAGCCCAGCTGCCCCCAGATATAGATCCCACCAAAGCACCCCTGGCCTTTGGGGAGAGGGCCCTTCCCAAGCTCAACGAGGAGCTGCAGGCCCCGGAGCTGCTGACGCGGCAGCGGGCGCTCATGGCCCTCTGCGACCTGCTCCACGACCCAGAAAACGTCTACCAGGCAATAGACCTAGGTGAGTGACCTCTGGTGACAAACTCTGACCGAGTGGCAGAAGAAAACTGTACTTTTTTTGCTCCATTCTCTCATCTCTTGCATTGTCTTTGATGACAAAACAGCCACAAAGGTTTTGTTTTCATTTGCCACTTGTTTTACCTTAAGAAGATAGGGAATGTTATGCCATATAGATGACTTACAGTGAGCATACTCTTAAAATAAGATTATCAACTCTAAAAATAATGCTGAATATTTTTTCTCCATGCGTATACTGAGTTTTAGATAAATCTTAACAGGTACTAATAAAAAAAATAATTCATTAGTCCTCCAGTTGGAAACCTCCAGTCTTGTTTCTTGTGATTTTCTCTAATCTCCTATTATTAATGCATCTTTACATAAGAAAATATATTTTGTAATTTTATGGTTTAAGAGTGAGAAAAATGACAAAATGGCAGTAATTTTCTTCATTAAACATTCTTCTCATACATATGTGACTAGGACCTTCCTTTACAGCCTTGGATTTTTCATATATGAGATACTCCAAAATGCAGTAGACCTCAGTGGGTCTTTTAATTGAAGGAAAGGTCTAAGCTAATATCTGACATCCAAGTGCATCTCAAATCACATTATAATATCAGGTAATATATTTTACTGACTATAATTAATAATGAAATACGTATATATATATAAATCAAGTTTACAAGTTCATCAGCAAAATCTGTGAGGGCATCTTTTGCTTTCTTTCCTTTGGCAGTGGATAGCCTTTCAAAGGCTTAAGAAGTTTACAGGAACTTCTTAAGGAAGTTTACAGAAATGCAGGCATCAATCCTGCAAACACACCCTTCCGTAAAACCAGGAAGAGCTCTAGACCCCAATGTGCCTTTATTTTTAGAGTTAGATTATTACATAAATATTTTCATGATTAAGAGTTTACTGGATATGGAAATCAACAGCTTGTCTGTAGCATGATCCAACACAAAATTAGTTCAGTGGAGTCTTTCCAGCATCTTTTCTGATTGTCCGATCAAACAATTAGGGATGCTAATTCTGTGGGGCACTTACAACAATTAACTTTTATTCTAATGTTAAGATATTTGAGGGATTATGGCATGGCATTTTTGGCAGTAGGTGAAGTTCCTTCTCTAGTTGTGGTATATCAATAAGAGTTTGACTGCCAGGACAAGATGAAATTTCTTTCTAATTATTTGCTTTGTATTCTGAAACTGAAAAAAACTACTTTGAACTAATGTTAAATGTAAGAAATGTTAAAATACTTTATTGTATTTTACAGGATTCTTTGACAACCTAAAAATCTTGCTGCTAGATAGTGACAGCACTATCCGACAAAAATCAACAGAAGCCCTCTACATAATGGCTACACATAATGTTGGAAGGTAGGTATAATTCTAGCTTTTACTAAATGGTAAGGAAACAAAAGAATTTTCAGTGAGAAATAACAATAAAGCTGAAATTGTGGCAAAATAGGTACAATGTAAATAGTATTTAATATTGTGCATCTGGAAATTATTTTAATTGTTAACCTTAGTTAAATCCATCCCCAATGCTGTTTGTAGGCACGGGTTTGTACAAAATAGAGTAATTCCTGCCCTGGCTGAGCTATTGGATGATCCAGTAGATATCTGTCGGAAGAACGTACATCAGTCTTTTGAAATGATGGCAAGATTACCTGAAGGTAGGAATTATTTTTTTCCTTAAGTACTCAATAGACAAGCCAGATAAAAGTGTATTAACCTGATTTCCTAAATATTTTTCCCAGATTAATTTTTTCCACTGTCCTTCAAAATCTTCAAAATCCCCCTTTAAACAGTGGCTTTATTTTTGTTTATCTTAGTTTTGCTTTGCGAGGTTATTTTTTGGTTTCTATTGGAAAACTTTGACAGGTACAACTGTTTTTTTCCTTCATGGCGGAAGCAATTATGTTGTCTAGTACTCTTGTTGTGCTGCTAAAACAATTTGAAAATTGTGTAATAAAAGAATAATACATAAAATGTCTGTACATAGCTAACAAGTGAAAGGCCCTGTATTAACATAATACATATGTGAAGGCACAGTGCTGCCTGTGTATTTCTCTTCAGGCTTGATACTGCAAATTCTCACTCTTAAGGCTAAATTCATTAATTCTTTTAAGTCTGCTTACACAAGCAAGGACTTACTCCCTCAAGATACAATTTATATGACATGAACCTGAGTTTGTCTTTCAGAATCTTGCATCAGAAATGCACTTTGTCCTCTTCTGTTCAAAATGTTATTTGGGTATTAATCCTGGTGCACCAGGTTCACAGCATGTAGAGTTTTGCAGAGGACAGAAGTGGTTTGTAAAAAACCTTTTTGAGGTTAAGTAGGTATCATGCAATATGTTCTGGGCTTTCCCTATTCCTTGCAAGCACTAGAGCAGGAGACAAATGAGCACTTAAGGGCATGTCTATTGCACTGAGTATTCCAGGTGAGATTCCATGGATTCTACATTAAAGTATTTTTACATGAGGCTCAGAGGTGACATTTCTTACTGGATCCCTTCATATTGCTTTTTCAGTTGGTAAATTGAAATAGAGCGTAATGCAAGGAACAATAAAGGAGTTTGCTTTTACAGATTTTGTAATTTAAACATTGTTTACCCTTAGAAAGCCAAACCTAGGTAACAGTGTTAGTTATACTTAAATGTTAGGATACGAAGCTAAAAGTGGAATCACTTTACCTGGTTTCAGATGTCAGATTATGCTGGTCTCCTTGTGCAGTGGGAGACAAACCAATGGAGACAAATCAGTATCTCCTGGGGCAATAAATCTGACATTTTAGGTGCTTACTTTAGGATGCAATGAACTCTGCTTGGGTGATGTCTATTTATCTCCAGTGAGATAAACATAAGATAGGTTGACTACATTGGAATTGGGCATCTAACTTTTAAATCCTTCTGTTTAGGTTTAGGAAAATAGGCTGAGAATTTGTCTTTGACTTGCTGGAAGACTAGAATAAGTCATTGTACCTTTTACCTGCTTACTTTAGTTACTTTTTTCCTCTAAATCTTTTATTCGCTAAAGGAACTTACCCTTATTTGTTACTTTTATATTCAGGTTCTAAAACTATAATTTCAATAACCCTTACAGTTCTAGTGATTAAAATTATAATTTTAAAATTACAACTTCTGTAAAGGGGTATTGTCAATTAATACAATAATTACTAGAATTCAAGGGAAAGTGTCTCCTTTGAGGTCTTGCCATTAAGCAAATTACTGGTGCTTAAAAGGAATTGAATGAATATTTAGGACCTTCCTGAATGAGAACACAGAAATTCTTTAAAAATACATGTATTTTGCATGCTTTTGACCATTTAAAGTCCTAAATAATTAAATCAGTATGAGGTAAGTTAATATAGTGGGCTAATTAACTTAATAAAAAGTAGAAAATCAGATTTGATTTAAAATTATTTTCACTAGTCGTCTTAGAGATTTTTTAACTCCCATGAGACAGTGACTTGTTTCAGTATATTTTGACCTACCTAATTGCCCTTAAAGAAATATGCCATTTACCTGTGTAGATACCTAAATACCATCCTGTGAATATGTGGATCATGAGAAACCTACAGGGGAAAACAAACTTAATAGAAGTAAACACTGCCAGATGCAATGCACTCAGTCAAACGTACTTTTAATGTAATTCCATTGCAGCCAGTGCGGATTTCACGCCAGATCTGTACTGAGTTTTTTGTTGGTTTGTTTTCTTATTTAAGATACCTTCAGCCTTCACTTAGCAGTAGATAAAAGAAAAAACATGATGGGATTGTATTTCACAGATCACTTACTTCCCCCTTTTTTAAAAATCTTTTGTACTCGTAAATGATTATTATAATATAGAACTATTTGCTAATAGTGTCTTGGGCTGTGTTTCAGGATAATAATTTGTAGTTTACTTAGGACTTCACTGCAAATTTTGACAGCAGCAATAATGACTAGCTTTATTTCACAACATTTGAACTTCTATAAGGTACATTTGGTAAGGTGATACACTGCAACAGTACCTCACACTGTAGCATTAATTTAAATTTTGTATTAGCAGAGCCCAACTGAAAATAACAGCTTTTCAGTGGGGATTGCCACATCAAACAGTTTTTTAGTAAATTCTAGAAAGCAAGGACTAGAAAAAGGGTAACTTAGAAGGCGCTTATTAGACCTGTCATTTCTGATTAGTGACTTACTGTAGCACTAAGCAAATGTGTCTCTTGGTGGTGCCAAAACATAAAACATTACTTCTTAGAAATTCCACAGAATCCGAAATACATTGCCTAAACTGGGGAATACGTGATGGTATCCCATACTGCCATGTAGGAAACAGGCACAGATATGCTACTCTTGCTCCCGTCGAGTCCCTGCAGCTACCTGAATATGCCAGTTTTGTTCAAAAAAATCCCTGATGGGAACTGCTGCCACCTTTCACAGCTGTAAAATACTAGTCTGGTGAAAACAGGAGACGTGAGATTATACTATGCAAGGAGAAATTAAGTTGCCTCCTTGAGTGGAAAGATTAGCCCTGCTGAGCTAGCTGAAGCCAATTACATCTGTGTCCCTCATGAAGAGGTGGCCTTTGGAAGGCAAGTGATTCACAGCTCTGATGTCACTGGGAAAGCTGTTTCTAACTCTTGTTATAGTCCCAGCTCAGCAAGAGTTGGGCAGCTTTGCAAAGGAAAGACTACAATTCTGTGAGAGGCAGCTACTTTCAAGTGAAGCTTCTCTTAAGACTCATACTTGGTTTTGACCGTTCCCACTTCAGGCGCTATCTATCACCACATGCAGTGATAAGCATCAGCCCATTGCTGGTGGCAGATAAGAATCAGGTTCTCCAAGTAATGCTGTAACATGTTTTGGGAGAACAGTTCTGGAGCATTGTCTCCAGAAAGCAGGAAAGGTTCACTGGTAGTAGGAAAAAGGAGGGAATTTCCATAACTGCAAAATCTCTCTAACTTGCAGGCATTCTCACTATCGCATCTTTAGATAACCATAATCTTTCAAATTTGTGGGTGAGGCTCATTTAAGGATGCTCCCTCCACCTTTTAAAATATGTTTTGCTGGATGAAGTGCAAATGATCCCAGGGCAGATGGCATTCTTGCTGCAGCAGATGGAACATTTCTTCTGTGAATGTCAGTGTTGCCCAGGTGAAGTGAAACCCCCAGCTGCATTAGTGCAATCCTTTCAGGTGGCAATGCCCTGCATCACTGATAACCTGAGACAATAGATGCAAATTTAATTGCATAATTTATCCAGGTGGAAGACTAGAAGTCAATAGATTTCATTTTAACACCTATCTTTGGCACAGACTTCCTATTTTAACCTTTTCATGCCTTTGTATTAAAAAAAAAAAAACTATGGGAGGATAAAGTTGTTTTCCTTCTATGTAAAAAGAGACCTTATTTTAACATCCTTAGTTCTTCAGAAGACTGCAACTGAGTAACCACAAGTTTTTTAGAATACTAAAATCAAAAACATCATGAGGACTAAATGAATAGAGAGTTAATAGTAAGGAATCAGTATTATGATAACATATATATGTGAACCAATTACTTAACCTGAAGAGATGCATTATTCCTCCACATGCCTACACATAAGTGGAAACACCTAGTGACATACACTACTTCAAGGTTTTTCTTCTCTCTGTTATACGGATTGCATGAGAAATGTGAGTCTCTCAGAAATAGCTTTAGTCCTTCAAGCCAAGTGGATAATAATTTGATATATCACTAGAGAGGAAATTTAGATCAGAAATGCGCTTTAAGTTGCTAAGTAAATGCCAGCATGCTAATAGTAGATTAAGGTTAGAGGATCCTCTATTAGCAGTCTCCAGCACATACAGCCTTCAGCAAACTCACCAGGTCAAACAGCCTGAGTCCATATAGCACAAGCAGAAGGTGGTAGCTCCTACTGCCAGTGAAAGCCCCAGATACTCCCTGGGTCCCATGCAAGGCCTTATCTACCCCCAGGGTGCTGCCTCATCGGCTGTTTGCTGCTCTCCTCCAGGAGTAACCCCCAAAATGCCATGCTTAAAGGGACCCACATCTCCAGGGCAGCGATAAAGTACTGCATTAAAAACTGTATAGATTATCCCCTACTCAATTAGATCAGGACTGAAAACTACTGAAAGTTGTAATCTTTGACTTGACCCTCTGAGAATATTTTTGGCTACCTTTTCGCTCTAGTAAAGTTGAAAGTGATTGTCCCTTGAACCACTGTCTTCAAGTGTGTCATAGTTTTCCTGGCAGTCCCAGGTCTCTATTAGCTTGAGCTTCCATGTCTTTGTAACCTACTGAGCTGCTCAAATGCAATTAGTTAAGACTGAAATTCTGCTCAATTTTGGTGATTGAACTGAAGAAAAAGATCTAGAGCAAATGGACAACGTTCATCAATCTGTCCTAGAAAACTGAAAGTTTTACACACATTATCCAATTAGATAGCTACTATATCATAATAGTAATTAATGAACACGCTATAGACAAGTTCCGTATCATTCGAATTATTTATTTTTTTCTTAAGTGGACAATTTAAATGTTGATGTTATTGACCATTTTGTTTTAAATTTCTTAGAGCCCTTGGCTGAGATCTCTTGCACTAATTGTAGTACATAGGGGAAACAAAAGTAGAAGGATATTTTCCAGTGTGCATGTGTGTCTGTGTCTCTGTGTACGTATGTGCTTTACAATTATCAAACATATATTTACACACCAACTTTACACTGAAGTCTTTAAGAAGTCTTTTCTATGGCAGGGGAAAGAATCAACTGACCAAAGACTTAGGTCTATATGATCCATTTGAGATTTTCCAGTACAGTCCCACAGAGCTTCTTACATATTCAGACTTTAATTTTGCCAGAATATTACTCCATCCAGTAGTGTTTCTTTATGAGATGAAACCTGGAGTTGAGGAATGCATCTCTTCAATTTCCTTAACTTCACTAAACGATAAATAATTTATTAAATTGAAATATCAAGACATTTATTTATTGTTCATATCGCTCATCTTTAACCTTCTAATAATACATCACATTTTTTAAATAATAAAAAAACAGAAAAAAAAAAGACTTTGGAGACTATATACTACACAATCTCAATGGCTCCTGCTTCTTGGGAAATCTGTTATGATATTGCAGTATTTCCCAGAAGGTATTGGGAGCAGTGGAACAGAATTGTCCGTTGGCAACTTTCACACTCAGCAGTCCAGACACTACAACAATAATTAAAAAAAAGCCTTGTGTTTTTTTTTCATATCTGTATTAAAAAAGGAACACTAATCTACTTCTTAAATATAGAGTTTGTTTTTTGTGAAACACCACAAGATTTGGCAAAAAAAATGTAAAAGAAGATTGTTTTGATGTATAAAACTCCTTACCAGTAGAAGAAACACTGACCTTGATTTGGCCTATTCATAGATTCATTTTATATAGTTTTGCTGCATATTTTGAAGCCTTAAAGAGCAGAAAGGGCTGCTAGTCAGGTTGGAAATCACAGAACAGTTATGCACCAACAATTCCTTGGACAGGCAAGGTGTCCATGATAAACAGTAAAATAAAGCAGAAGTGTATACATAGTGTATGCTGTGACTCATGTGCATGGGTATACATTGTGTGTGTGTTTATACTGCTGGGTTGTGCGTCCCAGTATTGTGGATTCATGCCCATTCTTTACAACTGTGTTATGTTTTGCTTAAACTCTGCTGTTCTGTAGCTTCAGATTTGTATTAGCTTTTCTCCCTAGCACAACCATTCTGCTCCACCTCCTGCAAAGGAGTTTGTCTCTCACTTACCAGCTTTATATCTTCTTGTCAATAAAATGATTTTTAGGACAGCTGGATGAAGAATTATTTCTTACATAGAATATGATAACACTTCCACTCTAGGAAATGGAATGGAATAAATGGAATAAAAGTGCAGTGACTGTGGAGAAAACATCTCCACAGAGTTAGGCCTCTATCTCTTTTTTTGTTTCTGCTTGGGATTTAAGTTTCTAGGGAAGAGAGCAGGAGTGGGCTGTATTTTTTGGAGAGGTAGCTTTTACTCTCCAGAACATATATTTGTGAAAAATAATGTGGCAGGTTAACGGGGCATAAGAGGATCTGTGTGTGTACATCACATTTCCCCTTTTCTTTCCTTGGGCTTCTAAGCTTTGCCCCATTTTTTTCCACTAAAAGTGGAGGTGGCTAGCCCCTTTTTTTTAATCACTTCAGGTAACAGATTAAGCCCAAGGATTCTTAGCAGAGGCCAATATATTTGAGATTGTTCTGAATGATGACATCTGTCACTGCATCGAACACAAATTGGATGTTACTGGTATCAGTGGCGCAGGTGAAGTGCGAATAGATTTCCTTGGTCTCCTTGTTGCGGTTCAAGTCCTCAAATTGGCGTTGGATGTAGACTGCTGCCTCCTCATAAGTGTTTTGCCCTTTGTACTCAGGAAAGCAGACTGTTAAGGGGATGCGCCGGATTTTTTCTGCCAGCAGATCTTTCTTATTCAAAAAGAGGATGAGGGAAGTGTTGATAAACCAATTGTTGTTGCAGATGGAATCAAAGAGACGCAAACTTTCTGCCATTCGACTCTATAGGGAAGGAAACAACAGCATCAGCAACAGTATTTCAATAAGTGTAGAAAGCACACAGAATATGTTATTATTTCTAGTAATGAGCAAAATCTGGTTTTAGAAATACCTTTGTTTTGCTTAGTGACCGTTCCTTCTACCTGAGCATGCAATTGCAGGAACCTAGTTTTAGATATACTGCATTTTATCAAAGAATACTTCTTCCTCTATTTATTTTCAATAATTGACAACCAAGAAGGAAAGTCTGAAGTTGGTGTTTTAGAAACAATAGGTGTAACTTGGGAGTATAGGTGCATGTGAAATCATGTTAGCACTATAAACATTTTCTAAATAAAAAGGATGATTCATTACTAAAGATTTCATATTACAGAAACATTCTGTTGTTATTTTAAAAAGACTGAAGTACTACTGAAGTACTATAGCACAATGATAGCATTAAAATATTCAATTTTTGCGTTCTGTTGTTTAGTACACCATACATACTCAGCTGTTTTTTCCCTGCCTTTTCTTCATAGTATACTTGTAAGTATAACTTACTAAACACAGCAAGCTTGGAATAATACATATGAATAAGGACCACCTTTTTCCATGGTCACCCACCGATGACCTTTTTAGGATGACTAAATGGAAAAAAAGAAAAAAAAAAAAGGCTACTCAGTGCTGAAATCAGAAAGATCTGTTAGAAACCAATGACCAGCTTCTACTTTTCTCAATGTTTCTCCCCTTATGTTGCCGCTCTGAAATACTTGATGCCACTGGAGCTGTCCATGGTTCCAGTGCTTCTGGTAGGAAAGCTGTGTATCAAGAGCGGTACACAGATGTAAAGTTTTGAGTAGAAAGTTTAAATAAATATCAATTATTGACAGCAGTACATAAAGGAAGTATGTTAATTATAGGCATTTATGCTAAAGGTCATTTTCTTCCACCATGGTCCAGTTTCCTAAGCACTTCAACGTCATAACTTTAGTCTGATTCTTGTCCAATGTGAAGTTCTACAGTGCACTCATATTCTTTCCTTAAAGGAGAATATCCCTTTTAACAAGTCATTCAATTTTAATTTAGAGAATGTTACACATGTTACACTTAAGCACTAAGGATTCGTTTCAGGATTTTCCAATACTCAGCAATATTTTTTCCTAATAAATGGAGAAAAGTATTATGAACATAATACAAGGTACATGATACAGGTATTGAAAAATTGTCTTAGGACTCCTTTTTTCTGTTTGCCTAAGAAAGATAGCTAAAAGGAAAGAAAAGTGAATGACTGAAAGAAACAGAAGTAGAATTAAAACAGAACAGCTAAAAGATGAAGAGATTGAAAGAAATGGGATTACAAAAGTAAGTAAAAGTTAATTAATGAGACCAAGAGGAAAAGAAACAACAATAGGATTTTTTTTTTAATTTAAAAATCCCCAGTCACTTTAGTTAAACAAGTGCCAGTACAATCAGTAAGAACCTGTAATTTTCCTATTTGCTTTTGAAATGAAAAATATTGTGCAAGCCTGCCCTCCTCCCCAGATATAGTACAATTATATAAATCTTCTCTAGCATATGGAGCTGAATTAGATTAGATTTTCTGGCACAGATGCCCACAAAATCCATATCAAATATGAGAAAGGAACATCTGAATACCTTCTTATATGCAAATGCTTGACCCCTCTATCCACAGTGAGAATATAAAGCTAAAATGCAAACATTTAGAAGAAGGGGAGATGGAAGAAAATAAGATTTAAAAAGGTAGAAAACTTCTGTACTCAGATAGTTATGATAAAGAATAGGGTCTATAAATCTAGGTAATTTGGAGGTGTTCTTTGTGACTAAGCTCCTGCAAATTTCAAATATTGATAAAACATATACATACAACTGATTTTTCTACCATCAAAAATATAACTTTGTGTTAATAAAAAAACTAAAACATGAAATTTGGCAATGTAACTGCTTTCATAAAAGTTGTAATACTATTATGACATTTCCCACAGTATAGCTGCATTCCATTTTTAATGAAGTGTCTACTTCACTGTTGGAACACTATGTTTTCATATTCTTCAATTTGTCTCTCGATGGATAAAATATTTGTCTTCTCCCTGTTAGGAAAACAGTGTCTCCTCAGTGAGATGAACTCTTATTCTGTTCTCTCTTCTTGGATATTAAATTCCAAAGTATCATCCATTCTCACTTTTTTTCTTTGTTTTCTGGTGATGTGTTTAATTTATATTGCATGCTCTTTGGACAGGCTTTCTGGTATTAATTTTCTGGAAACCATTGTGTACACCGATGCTGATTTCTTAAATAAGACAAAGAGTGAAAAGATACGAGAGCTATAAGGAACTGGACAAGCCAAACATAGATGTGAAGACTCTAAATTCTTTTTTCAGAAACCACAAACTGCTTTTGTCAGTTGGCTGCCTGCAATAAAGGTCAGCTCTGAGAGGGTGCAACTGCATAACTTTAGGAGAAGGGTGGGAGAAGGCTTGTTGGGAGAGTGCCAGCACTTCGGCTCACTAGCTGCTCACGCATTCGCCCTTGGTCTTTGCCCAGGTTTTACTGCAGCTCTTTGTGGTATCCCTTGTGTTTAGGCCATGTCCCTCACAGATCCGCTGACTTGACTTCCTGGCTTGACCCCACAATTGCCTCATTTCTGTGGACTTGTCCGGCAATCTGGGTTGTTGCTGGAGCCTGGTTACTGAAGCACAGCTGCTCTCTGGCACTGCAGGACCATAGTGCTTGGCAGTGAGGACACGGCTGCTGCCTGCCTTGCTTTTCCCTATGAAAGGAGTCCCCCCTTGCTGCTCTCTCACACTCTATAAGATCTCAAACTTTGATTAAATCCTGTTTAAGGCAAAAGAATGCTTATTAGAGCTGGAACAGGAAGAATAAAACAGGTTTTTTTTTTTTTTTTAGTTCAGACTTACTGGCCTTTAAGACATACTAAACTTAAGAGCTGAATGGTCCCCAGGGGCACTGTCTGATTCACAGGTCAATGGGCTTCTACAGTGTTAGAGTTGCAATTCAAGGAGTCTTTCTATTGTCCTATAAATAAGAAGCATATATTCTTATTTTCTCCTGTGTATGTGATTGACCTCCTAAAGGTCACTCTAGGCCATTTATTAAATGTAATTATATTTCTCGAGTGTAGCCGCAATGTCTGGAACAAAGCTGAGGAGTAAACAGGATCTGGATAGTCCCTTGCCTGAAAGCATTTCTAGGCTAAACTAACGATAAATCACTTTGTAGATGCTCATATGGATTTGGGATTGCACTTCCAGATCATTCTAAGACACTATAAAGCTGTATAATTTTTCATATTCATGAGGCTTAATAGCAAAACACCAGAGAAGAAGGCAGTCATTATCAAGAAAGGCAAAAACCTGTCAGAGAGAACCTTAGTTGAAATTCCTTTTCTAATAGCACAGGAAGGAGAAAAGTGAAGACTAATTTGGTTAACATTTTTTTTTTGACAATTAGAAAAAGTAATATACTTACAAGGAATGGAAACTTAGCAGTAATGAAAAAATAAGAGAAGAAGTTCAAATATACAGCGTTACAAAGGAGAAAAATAGCCGTAAAAAGGAGAGGAGTCAGAGTCAGGATTCGTTCAGGACACGGCATCACAAGATCCTAGAAGATCTCTTATTTTAGGACGAAGATCAATACTATGCTGTGGGAGCAAAACTAGAGACAGAAATCTCAGCTACATGGTTCTGGGCAATTAAGCAGTAATTTGCTGGAACTGCAGTAGAATTTGCATGGCATAATGAAAAGTCACTCAAACATTACAGTAATTAAGCCAAGTAGGGTAAAAGTCTAGAGTACAGGGAACCCAAAGTTAATCACCTGCCATGTTTCAGGTAATGGCAGCCATTACTGAATGTATATCCATCGCAAATTTGAAAACTGAATTTCTAGAAATTTAAAAGTAAATCAGATTAGCCAAGACAATGGGTGAGATAATAGGATTTTGATTTTTAATGATAATAATTTAATCAATACTAACAAACTCAGACAATGATAATTACATTTTAAGACGTGCCACTGCTAAAACACAGCTTGCAAATAATTGTTTTCAGTAAACTAGTTGTCTTGCTTTCATGGACAAAACTATTATAAAGGCTCCAACGCGGAAAGAAGAGGAGGTTGGTCTGTGGTCTTTAATACAGAACCTGTTTTGAAAGCCAGGCTACTGGCATTATCTTAGGTGTTAAAGCTGTTGTGAATACAATATAGTTCAGGAATGGATCGAATAAGATGTCTATTCACCTATTATATATTTCTAACAAGAGGCAAATATTTAGGAAAGGAATAGGTGTTCTGTAATAATGGGCATACTAAATGAATATACTAGCTGCTGAGCTGGAGGGAAAACTTTAAACAGAAGCAGATGGAGTTGAACTATTACTTATCATGTAAATTTCTGGTTAAAGCAGGGTGGTTAAAGAATTAATAACCAATTGTACCTGATACCTAAGAACTTTCTTCTTCAATGTCTGAATAATTTTACTTGATTAAATTTCAAATAAGATAATCAATGAATCATTTCCAGGAAAGATGCAGGTTATCTTACACTGGTGCAATACTATAGTTGTGTGGTACAAATGCTTTTATGCCTTGGGACCCCTAAAAACCCATTTTGCAGATTACCTGTAGTAATAAAAGGAAGAAAAGCATCACTGGACAATGAGAATGTATATCAGAAAAGCAAAATCGAACTTTCAAGTACCAGTAAGGTGTAATCCATATAATTGTGAAAATGAGAGGAAAAGAGAAACAGGCAGCACCTGTATCTATATGAAGAAAACTAATTAAATTTATTTGGAAGGGTTCTTACCTGTTATCACAGAGACACAAAATGTCTAGTATCATCATATAGCCAACCTTGCTTTCCAAATGAAAGTAGATAATGTTAAGTAAATTCAAGGCTGGGAGAAAATACTATTCATGGCAAGAAAAGGCCTTTATAAGTTTAAAGTAGTGGCTTTTGGCTTGTGTAGTGCATCAATCAC